CAGTGTATGTTTTGTATTACTGTACATGGCCAGGGTGTTGCTTATGATTTCTATGCTGGTTTTAATTAAAAGGAAAAAGTTCTGTTAGGATATTTCATTGGTAACATGTAATTTGTATTGTTAAAAAGGTACAAATTGGTAGTGTAAATTCCTTGAAGATTGTAGGAAGAGTTTTCTTTCATTGACCTTGTCAAGTAAATAAATTATGACCAGAATGACCATGTTTCTAACTTGTTCATATGTTCTTTTTTTTTGTAATACTATCCATGTAATGTAACATTACAAGAATGTTTCCATTAGGTTGCTTTCTTTGATGATTTGAATGTATCCATATGCTGAAAATCGTTGTAGAAAATTTGTCATACTGTTCTCAAAATAGCTCCAGCAGAGTAATCAGAATGAACTGATGGGAGAATGTAAATTGACAGAATGTTCATTTGGTCTTTATTGCTCAGTTGCATGAGGTATATTGTCTGTAGGTGTATTATACAAATCTACTGTGAAATGTTTTTATTACAGTACATATGTATTACAGAGGTAATACTGGCCAACCAAAGACTTGAGGTACATTGTGTAAGAAACTAAAAAAAGTACTGAACATATTTTATCTTTCATTAACCAGTGAAAGAAGAAAAACACGTTTTTTGAGCACATATTATGCACCAATGATGTTAGATTCTGTGACAGCCAAGCAGATTTTTATTTTAAGTGTAGTGTCGGTATGAATACATATTCAAACTTTGCATTTCTTCGTGTCTGAAGCAATGCCAATGCTTTCTAAAGCAGTTCTTTAGAGATTATGATCATTTCTTCTTGGATTCCTAATTTAAAATCCTGAATGGTAGCTGGACATGTCCTTAAATAAGACTTTCAAGAAATCCCACAAAAAGTGGTCGGGAATTGATAAATCTGGAGATTGTTAGAACCAGTTAATTTCTCTGAATTGAGATATAAGGCATACAAACATGTTTCACAGTACAGCTGTAAATTCTGAAGGTACAGTCTGTGACCCTTCCCTGCTACACAGCGACACAACACACCACACTGTCGTGTTTGCTTATTACATTTCATGATATAATCTTATGCTCAATAAGGGAAGTTGTAATTGAATTCTCATCTGTGATGTTATAATTTGTTATTTTGTCAGTAATGATATAAACTCATAAGATTATATTTTCTTGTTGTGGCTCACTTGGCTACCGTTGGTGCACACATTTGTATTATCGTAATACCCTATTTGCCTAACATTTATGTTTAACAACTAAACATTTGATAAATATTATAATATATCGATTCACTTGATATTGTGTAAACTGAATTACTGATTTGAAGACACTAAGATGCATCGTTGTCTAACATTAATCCTGTCTGTTTTAGAAGCGTAAAAAATATGAGTTCTAGATTATACTGTTATTAATATCTTCATAGAATTTGTTACATTTTTCTGGTAGGTATGGCTCAGTGGAAAAGCCTGTTTGCTTGCATTTATGTGGTACATGTTATGGCACTTGCCAAATGGCAGTTATGGTCTTCCTCATCATTCCTTGTAAATGTCATGGTAGTAAAATAAGAGACTGCTAATATGTTACAAGTCATCTGCTTTCAAAGTACTGTATGAATATGGCAGCTTGTCATTGTAGGTTTATTATACATTCCATTTCTGAATGCTTCCTCCGTCTATTACACACACCTTAATAACTGCAACTGAAGGGCCGTGCCGTAGCTCAAGTGGTTAGTCGCTGGCTTCCCACCATGGTGGGCCAGGTTCAATCCCGGGTCTGGTCAAGTGGGATTTGTGGTGGACAAAGTGGCACTGGGGCAGGTTTTCTCCCGAGTACTTCGGTTTCCCCTGCCAATCTTCATTCCACCAATTGCTCCACAATCACCCTCACCTATTATCTGGGGCTGGTACAATAGGCCAGAAGTGGCTGCAGTACAAGGGACTTAGTCCCACTCCACTAGCGCAAAAAAAAAGGGGGGGCTAACTGAAAAGTTTTCTTTTACTGATTTGATTTTGGTTCTCTTTGTTAAAATGATTATATACATACAATAGGCCAGAAGTGGCCGCAGTACAAGGGACTTAGTTCCACCCCACTAGCAATAAAACAAAAATAGTTACATACCTACCTTACCTCAGAGCAAATGGACTTTCCCTTCCCACATCACATGCATGTGCAGTGAAAAGGAGAGCGGAGCCTCACGTTAGCTGGCGGTCTAATGTAGTGTTGTCACGATGTTTTCGAAACTGGAACAATGGAGTTGGATAAAGTTTGAATGTGCCAGAGGCCGAACAGCACGACAGTGTCATCAAGGTCTTCAAGAGGCTTGCGAGGAATCTGTATTGCCTTACAGAACAGTGGAAAGGTGGGTAAAAGCCTTCAACGAGGGGCGCCAAAATGTGGCAGACATGCATTGGCCAGGTCATCCTAGTGTCAGTGAAGAAGAAGTGTATGCTCTTGTTACAACGCTCGAGGCCAAAAAAGGACACATCACAAGACACGATATACACAAAATGTAGGAAGAACGACTCCCACAGTGGAAGAATGATGTAGTACGCGAGTTTGAGTTTAGACGTGTAAGATGATGGATATTAACAAATTCTGATATATATAAATTTTATTATAGTTAGTGACACCTCGTTGGTGTCTCCACCTTATCGTGGTGAGGGGGTTTGAGTATGCCAAGGACCCTGAGAGCTATACCAGCGGTAGCGTAGCTACTGGCAGGGCTTCCCTTGCTGGACAGGTCAAAGGGTAGGCATCAGACGAAGAGAGACACCAAAAACTGATGCCGGAAGCAGCGTCATCAGCAGCGACTTGAAGCACAGAGCAAATGAGATGCTCGAGATGGTTCAAGTTCGTATAGCAACAGGCGTGACCAGAGTGGTTTGAACGGCTGTTGTACTGCGATGTGGAAAGCAAATGGAAAAACTACCACATTATCACTTTTCCTGGATAGTCTCTTTCCAAAAAACAGAAGATCGCATTAAGTGGAGGAACTGTTTTGGAAGAGACTGTGGACCTGTCGTCTGACAGATTACTGATGAATGAATGAATAGTTAGTGAAGAGAGTGCATTTTAGATAATTTTATAAATGACATGTGATGGCGAGCAATGCAATAGCTTGATGTAAATAACACACCTGAGGATGGCACAGTGATGCCAAAACATGTAGTGAAGTGACATGTGAGATTAAGCGCACTACAAGATGGCCAATACATACATCTCGGGACAAGAATCAGTGCAACAGGACACTAAAATACAACATTATACATTTCTTACTTCTGAATAAAAAGGTAAAAGAGACACACCTTGTACCAATCTGTGCACATGCTGCAACTTGAATTAGCAGGTAAATTTCCATGCTTGATCCTTACCTACTTGTATACTTGTCATATTCCTTAACATAACTCCCCTTTCTTAAAAGAGAATGTTTCTCGCTGAATAATACTTTAACAAGACCTTTCAACTGCCTTCTGTTATATTCAAATTTATCTTAATATTATTTGTAACATGGCATCCAATGGACAATATTTCTTTCATGAATTTTCCTTTGATTGATTCATGAAAGTTATTTTGCTTGTTGCTTTGTATGGGCATGAAACTTGGTCTCACAAATTAACTTTTATTATCAAGGAGTATGGGTTTTCAGATATCCTGGTATTATAAGGATGGCAGCAAGATTATAACTCGGGAGGAGGGTTGGTGTGGTTTAGTATAGAAAAGATGCAGTGCTTAGCTTGGCCATGTGCATGAGCCATTACACTAGTAGAATGCATGGCTAATAAAGATTGAGAGAAAAACACACACTGAGTGGGTTTGAGAAGAGGATGCTGAGGGAAATACTTGGGTCTGAGAGGAAGCTGGAGAGAATTACATAATAAGGAGCTTCGTAATGTGTACTGCTCATGAGATATTATTTTAAAGTCATCAAATCAAGGAGGATTGAGAGGGCATGTAGCATACATAGGAGGAGAGCATTAATATGTTAGAAATTTTAAATGGAAAACTGAAGAGAAGAAATCATTTAGGCGATTTAGGTGTTGATGGATGGATAGTATTGAGATGGGTCTTAAAGAAATTGGGTGAAAGGATGTGAATTCAAAATAGGGACAAGTAGCAGGCCATTGTGAGCATGGAACCTGAAATTGAGATATCATAAAATGGGAATTTGCCTGTTCCTCAAGTCATCTCTTTAGCATTGTGGATGTTCACAATGTGCGTAGCTGTTAGCAGAACGTGGACATACAGTAGATTTGAGACTTCTTTACAACCTTCAGTTGGTTTCACTTTTTCTTTCACTAGGAATTTGATGATACAATGGTTCTACATTAGGAGTGACATCTGACACCATCTTGTACAATCTCTAATGTGCAGAAGCAGGCTATACAGCCACCTGCCAGACAGTGTGTGCAGTGTTGCCGTCAACTGTCCATAAGTGTTTCATTTCTATGGTGCCACTTTCAGGGAAAAAAATAAAGTCCAAATTATCCTTGAACCACCCTTATACTGTCTTCTGGGATCTGATGTTGTGTAGCCTGGTAGAAGTTCACTGATGTTTCAGAGGAACACACAGTCTCCACTTTCATACAGAAACAGCCAAGTAAGTAACCAGCAAGAAGCAGGAGCAAGCTTGCTTGGAGATAGTCCATTCCTCCACAATGTATTGTGGGAACATCCCACATACTATTACACTGTTTTGCCTATCAACGGACAACACTCACTCCTGAGTCAATAGCACATTGCTGTCAGCTCTCATATTTATACAGCGCTCGCTGTCCGGCTCACTTTTCACCATCACGTACGCTAACCAATCACATTGCTGCCACCACTCATATTTATACAGCACTTGCACGATGGCCCTATAGATCATAGTAATCTTCATAGTCACTGCTATGAGGACCCAAAATCTAATGTTATGTTATTATTTGCTGGGGAAAACAGATTGTGTCTGGCATTATAAGTGGAATGACATGTTCCATATCTGTAAAATTTTTACAGGTCATCAGAGAATTGTGCTTTGTGAGCTGGAGCTCACAAAGCGAAGTCGGGTCTTCCATCAGACCCTCGAAAGCAAATGACAGAACACCCAAATGGAATAAGGAACTACAGACAGCTTTAAGATCTGGAACTGTAGGAGCACAGGACACTTTTGTGAGTTCTGTCCCCATTGACTGGAAGAAGAAAGGGTAATACATTTACAGGCCACTCGGGATGATCAACCTTCAGGAGGAAGCAAAAGTCAGAATTCTAGAGTGAGAAGAAACATCCACTGCTTAGGTTATGGCATGGTAAATGTGTAATCATTCATTAATATGAAACAGTCGGTAACTGTAAACTGTAAAGAGCGTGAATTAGCAACAGCACCATAATTACTTGTAGTTAGGATCTGTAAGAGTCCATCAGGTGTATCTCACAATGTATTGGTCTGTATAAACTGGTATTCTCATTTCATTCAACAACATACAGTATTAAATTAATTGACTGTGAACTTGTATCCAAGACTTTGCAAATACAGCTCTCTCTCTGTGGAATTATACAAAGGAAATGCATATTTTTATTCAATTTCTGCTAACATCATTTGTAGTCATTACCTGAATTGGGACCACTGCCCCCAGCAGCCGCTGCTTCTCCTCTTTGCATTTCATCTCTATAGTTTTTCCTATTCAATGACAAGGCAAACACAATCTTCCAACTTTCTGCAGTTGCATGTCCTCATTTTGCAAGATATTTTAGATGTCACCTTCATTTAATTGTGTGTTGCCAAGTACTCTTTGACCTGGGCCCATAGGAGCTCTGGAGGGTTTCAGCTCACAATGATGTGAATCACACGAGTACAGTCTTAATCTGAGCTTGACCATTTTGTATCACTTATCATGAATAGATTTCTACACGTATGAACAGTAAGGTCTATCAAGTTTAATGTGAGAATATAAGAGACTTGCCTTCTGATGACAATGGCCAGCAGTGGTCAAAATGTAAAGTGTCTTTTAGATTATCATATTAACCTTGCTGCACCTGACACGCCTTACTGCTCATTCATGTATTAAAATTGTAAAGGCTCAGGATGTCTCTTATGAAGAAATACCTCTGTATTTACAAACCAGACCATCACCACCACCTTCGAGTTATTTGCTCTCATAGCACTTGATCTGAGCCAGTTTACTCTTTTTGTTCCAAGGTGTAAACAACTGTCCCGCCTTCACCGCATGATACACCACAGTCACTTACAGTCATTTCCTCTTGGCACTCTTCTGTGAATGTGAGCCACATCCACTCCACAGACCTAACCTAACCATAAATTCCTCTTCACTGCCATAATACACAACAATTAGCTCTCTCTTTCCTTTTCCACGGGGATTTTTCTATCATATTGAAATGCCTTTCAGGAATGCGCCCTTTGTGGACCACCTCCCTGCTGCCAAACCATCTACTTGACACAATTTAACACCTTGGAGACACCATCAATGCCTCAACAAAACACAGTAAAAGACTATAAATATCAGATATCACTGTGACTTGTACTTCCAGAAATGAGAACTCTGTGTGGTCTAAAAATATTGTAACCTCTCACATTCTTCCATTGTGGCATCACAAAAATTACTTCACAGATCACATCTGAACCATGTTTTAAACATGTCTGAAGTCCTAGTGGTTTTCATTTTTGTGTAAGTATATTACAAATTGGGCAACAGAACAAAGAACTGGGATTTTATTCTAAGGGGGGTCAAGAGGTTCTCCTCTCGAAACCATCCAGAATGGCTCTGGGGCCCCACCCAGCCTATCCAAGGGATATCAGGAGCTCTTTCACCTGGGGTAAAGTGACAGAGGCATGAAGCTTACCACTCATCTCCACCCAGTGCCAAGGGCAGCAATGTATATATTATACCTTTGCTCTCCCATATGTCCTTATGGGTGGTGCCCAATTAAAAACCCATCTACTCTACAAACAAGGGAATATTATACCCCTTGTAGCCAACATTTCTTGAGAAAAGTCCTGTATATGTATGTCTGCATTTCACACTGACGTGTAGTACGCTGAAAACAGAATCTAATTATGATCCAATGCAAACAAATGCTCTATATCACTAACTACTGATAATGGATCCTTGATCCCATTGATGAAGTATAAGTATGCACAGGGCAAATTTTTTTAACGTTACCTAACAATGTTACAAAGCTTCTGTTACTTGGGGTTATCCATATTTATTACCTGGTCTATTTACTTGGGAAAGAATTGGGATCATGGAATGAAGATACAAAAAATAAAAGGTCTGAGTATGTACAAATAATAGTGTATTGATTCCCCATTCCATCACAACATACAGTAGTTTTACTAAATGACCATAAAAGGGCAAGTTAGATTAATTTAGTTCATGATTTTTTAATTAAACAATACTCATGGTTGTAACGTGTGTTGTCATGTGGAGAAGAAATACCAGGTTCTATATGGAGTCTGATTAGAATCCTTCAATTACATTCCTTTTCATATTAATCTGTGCCAACTAATATTTCCTTGTGCAGTTTGAGATTGTCATAGCAGTGTCCAGTCTTCTGGGATGTGATGCAAGATAGCCCAGTAGCAGTTTACTGACATTTTGGAGGAACTTTCTGCTTGCTTCCCCTTAATCTTTGACATTGAAATGCTGGTATACCTATACTAAACAATACAGCATCACATCCCAAAGAACTCAAAATTTCCTTTACTGAAGGGCAATTCAAACATGTATCAAGAATCAGAAACACAGCAACTTGTCAAACTTGTCAAGAGATTCAAAAAAAGACTTTGGCTGCTGACCTAACTCCATGGAGTGGACCTTTTGAAGCCAACAACAGTCTGTCAGCTAGTTAAGAAATTATGGGCATTTCATGGAACCCAGAAGTTCACTGTTGTGTTCACAAGAGCCCACCACTGGTCCACTACCTCCAGCCAGGTCCACAAATTCCAATTCTGTTTTTGTAAGAGCCAATATTATCCTCCCAATTATATCCATTTCTTTCTTTCAGTTTTCTTTCCAAAACTCTGTATGCATTTCTCTTTCCCACCCCCCAATGCACACCTTACAATATGCCATGGCCACTTCCTCCCCATTCCTTTAAAGTCCACTGATGTGACTAAAACAGGAAAGTCACAGCTTTATCTATTATTTGTACAGATGGAGCATGATCAAAGGGATAACTATCTCTGCCCTTAAACAGAAGCATAATGAAACACAAAAGATTTTTTCATGTATTGAGATTTCATTGTTTAAAGTGCTGTGTGATTGTGTAAATATCCCTGCTTCAAGATATCTATCATAAAATGGCATTTCTAAGATCACTAACACACAAATCCACAATTAATTATCTACAAAACCATAAGACTTGTGGAAAAGTGTACAGCAAATGGAATTTATGTATATTTTCCCTGCACAATTTGCATTATCAAATGCATTGTGCTCTGATGAGCGTTTAGTTGAGTTATGGTCAAGTTGCACACTGAAATGGATATTGGTCTTAACATAGGGCATGCGTTACTGCTGTCAAGTTTTAACCAAAAGTTGAACATGCTGACAGATTTTAGTCAACTCTTCCATATCAAATTTAATGAAAATCACTTTTGTAGTTCTTGAATTGTTTTACATGAACAGACAGACGTGGTGACACTAAGAGGCACACTTCTGAAAACTTCCATTACAAACATGCGAAAACAAATCGCATCATATATAGCAACATCACTGTCCTTACTGAACTCAATAGTTTTAGAACATGAAAATCCTGCAACACTAACCAACCTAGCCTGGTTACTGTTCAAGATTTCTGTGAAAGGTCCAATGGCATAGGCAGATGTGTTTCTGAAGTGTCTTTAAATTGTTCTGTGGAATAAGACAAATACCGGCTTCTTGGAGTGAACTGTTTCAACATTTTTGGGTACTGACATTAAGCAAACCAACCCCTTAGAAGTGGGGGCACGTGGTAGCATAGTTGGTTGAGGCACTATGCTACAAGCCAGAAGGTCACGGGATTGAATCCCGATGAGGTGGATTTTTTTTTTTCAATTTACCTAATCCTTCCAGTCACACTATGGCCCTGGAGTTGACTCAGCCTCTAACAGAAATGAGTACTAGTAATATTCTTGGGGATAAAGGGCAGCTGGTGCGTTGGCTGACAACCTTACTGCCATCTATGAGCCATTTGTCTAGAAAATGTGGGAACCTCAACATCTCACAACCCTATGGGCCTCCACGGCCTGTTACAGGGATAGCTTTACTTTACTTTACTTTACTTTACTTTTACCCCTTAGAAGTGGATGATTCAGAAATAGATATCTCACACAATTAGAAGCCTGCAGATGTACTTAGACACATGAAGTTGAATAAGAGTTTTGCTCTCAAGAAAAAATATTTTTTTTTTAATAATGCCATGATGTAATGGGACAACATATTCCCACAGATATGTATCACAGGAAATGATAATCCCTTTCAGCTCGGAAATGAGATCAGCACAGCAATACCATTATAAAATGGAATTCATGCTTCACATATACAGGGTCCAGCAGAAAGTACTAGACATTCCGAATTAGCGCCACTTTCTAACAACAAAGAGCGTGGATACTGCAGTTTGTGCCAGAGTGTAACACAATTGAAAACATTAATCATCATGGAATGTTGAACAAACATCACGAATTTGCTGTGGAAACATTTTTTTAATGATGATTCTGCTCTCATTATACAAATGTGTATTTAGGCAGCATTTCAATATTGATATGACTGGCAGAGTTCCAATGCATCAAATCATTTTTAAACTCAGTTCAGCAATTCATAACAAAATGCTTTGAAGTGCAGTTTAATATTGCATGTTTCCATATAGTCACTTTTTCATTTAAATTACTGTTATTTAATTTATAAAACGTCTATTACTTTCTCCCAGCCCCTGTATAATATTAAACTTCAGAAACTGTATTTCGTTGCCAAAACTACAGCTAAGCTGTAACTGTTTAAGTTGGCCATTAAATTTTGTCATTATATTAAAATTATAATAAACTGAATGTCAATGTCATTTTCAAATATTATCCTAGACAGAGCATTTGTGCAAATTTATAACATTACAAATTACTCAGTACCAAAACAGCTGAACAATATGTAAAATGGTAGGCATGGATCAGTTATTTCATTTTATTATAAATTTTTTTATGCTACAGACATACTCCACCTTGCTTCAAACTTCCACCAGAATGAATTATCACCAGATTATTAAAATACAGAGCTTCAAAGCCAAAAAAAAAAGGACACCTATGGTAATTTACATGAGGAGTGAATATGGTTATCTGTTATCTACAGGAAAGTTCACTTGTGATTCTTTCATGGAAAGGCAATGATGTGCTACACAGAGGACTTGTCATGTTAGGTAATAAATTACATATTTTCATTTCCTTTCCTTATTGTGTAGTGCTCTCAACACATGCGCGCACAAAAGACATGTTAACAAAGCACACATATGGGGGGATGCAATATTTAGCGTTCATTCACATTCCCTCCAGTGTCACATGGAAATTGCAGTGAAACCAACATATGGTTTCTTAAAAAAATTACCTTGAGTTCATCTTTATTTTCATATATTCATTCCTGCATTCACAGTCAACAGATTCACGCCGTTTCTGAAATTTCACTCTCACACACAAACACATCCGGCTGTTCTTTATCTGATGTTAGTAGTCTGTCCTATTTACTTTAATTTTACCATCTTTCGTGTGCTCTTCACTTTATTTTCATTTTAGCAAATATTACTCACCCTTCATCACGCATACAAACATCACATCACATGCATATGTACACCGCTTGTGAGGGTTCAATTTAATGGAGCCATGCATAGGTATACGTCACATCACTTGAACATAAGCACCATCTATGCTTACACCTAGGCCTGGTACCATTAGAGTGGAACTTGGGTCACTGACTTCTGATGTTGGTTAGAACAAGAAAAAAGTATTGGTGCAAATGGGGGTAACCAGCAATGTGTGTTTGGTTTTAGAACTGTGGATATCACCACACTCATCTTATATGACTGTGTTTTTGGACATAACATTTCAGAGACTGGATTCTGTGTCTGTCTTCAGGTAAAAGCCTGCTCGGTTGGGCCCAATTAATAGAACTCTATTGACTGGGCCCAACTGATGCTTTTATCTGAAGATGGACATAGAATCAGTCTCCAAAATGTTGCGTTTTACATAAGAATAATGGGACAATGGATAATGTCCAAAAGAATGTTTGTATTAATATATTATCGTCAAAGACTTTCAGATCTCATTTATGTTTATGTGAGTTTATAAAAGCCACTGTTTAAACATGTTACAATTTCACAAAAATAAATGAACCCAATTTATATCCTTGATTAAGTTCCAAATACCTGAGGGTACTCTTTTATGAACAGAGAAGATCAACTCTGAGATCATTAAAGTAACATTTTCTTACAGTGCATAAGCCTTCTGTTTGGGCTCTTCAACAGTCTCTGCTACTGTATAATATTGGTTCAGGCTGGTTCATAATAAAGAAAGGATACATTAATTTCAGGGCACTTCCACAGTAGTGCCCTTTACAATAGCGAAAGCAAACTGGGAACACTTTAAAAATTTAAAGAATCAACATGCCACATCTACCTGGATAGAAGCCACATTTCTTCCCATAATTAACACTTCCCACTCAGGGTGCAGCTTACAAGTGATTCTTGAACAAAAAGAAATATCATTAGCTAGCCTAGTTCTATATAAAGGAACATATTTTGTTATGACCAACAGACAGTGCTTTAGCTTTGTCCAAACAATATATACATATACCTGCACTCAATCAGTTTCCAACTACTGGACTCCTAATGGAAATGGATAATACCCACTTTCCTGGCGTTAAGTGGACAAAATATTTTCATTTTAACACCATGTCATCTTGGGAGGGCAGCTTATATCTGGGCAAATATGACAAGTTTCTGCAAGTCCAGCATTTTGACAAATCACACTATAATCTAATTCGAGAAATTATATCACAAAACAAATCAGAGACCAAAAGCATTTCATCTGCCACCATTTCGTGTAGCTTTTTATCATCTCCAGGGACCGAAGGAGATGCAACAAACTAAACATTCAACATGACACACTCAAGCTCCCAAGTACAGCAAGTCATTCAAATCTACGAGGGACAAAAGTAACAAATATTTCATTTTTTACTTTTAGTTGCAGTACAATTATAGAATCCTGCAACATTTTAGAAATGATACATAGTACAATTTTAAGTCTCACTGCCAACAAGCCATTTGTATGTAAGATTTAAGCCATTTGTATGATGTTTACAAATAATATTCAAACAAATCTCCCCTCTACACAAAGACTGAATCTGACAATTTCATCCACTTTTAACTGCAGCTGATACATTATATACAGATAAAGAAATAACAGTAACAACTTTAGTTTGTGGGATGGAATTGCCATCAACATTTTGATGCACAATCCTACACCATGGCAAGAAGCACGACTTACTTACGTCGCTCTGAACTTGATTTTGTATTTACTGGCACTGTGACATAATATGCATTCTGCATTCTCCTTTTCACTACAGAATTCTGATAATGTACACAATATATGGTAAGACTGCTCTCCTGCTGGCACGACTGACTGCACATGCAGCCAGCTGCATGAAACCAGTTACAATGGACACATACTGAGATGACTGAAAGAGTTTAGCAACAAAGTTCCAGTTCAACAAAACCACCTCACTAGACACGTATCCTCATTACTGCTACACAAGTGAAGTCACTGACTCACCCAATGACATGCAACTGCGGTTGTGAAGGTCACTGAAACTGAAGTTTCAATCATGTCAGTGGGAGAGGTCTCACAGAAAGTGGGTTGTACTGCGGCACCCTGTTGCATACAACTTGTTTTCACTTTCTTATCCACTGTGTCAAATGTGAACTTGTGTTAAAATTCACAATTTTTCGAATTTTAAAATTATTTTTCACATCACTTATGCACTATACATTTCAACCAATAAGGTTTATCGGTGATGTGAAAAATAATTTAAAATTCAAAAGTGTATTTTAAGATTTTAACGGAAATTTGCATGAGAGACAGTGGATATGGCAGAAGTGAGCACTAACTGCAATCAGCTGGGCCACTGGCAGCTTGTGGGCCTACAAACTGAAACAGTTCTCCTAGACTGTGCACCTAGGCTCTATCCATGCCCTTGTGTACATTAAGATTGGGCCATTGTCAGCAAAGTCTAGCATATCACTTCTTTTGAACTGTGAGAGATTTTAGGCTCTCATGGTGACTATGAAGATTACAGACTCATGGGGTGGTAGGTATTTGCTAAAGTTCCAGAGGAACCTGCTGTCTAGGGCACCCTGAAGATGGCGACACCAGGTTCCTCCAAAACACTGCAAACGTCTTCTACTGTACATGGCATCACATCCCAGAGCTCTCTTTGAAAACACAAATTTACCTGAAAAGTTGAGATTTTGATAGCAAATATTTGGGTAATAATCACTGCTTGTTGTGGCCAATGTTCACCTATTGCAAACAACTGTAATTATCATACATGAAAAGTTGCACCAAGATCCATCCTGAAATCTCATTTCAAAGATTATATTCAATTTCAACTGTATGCATAAACACCTTTGCTTTCTCTTTCTGAACTGCTGGGTATATATTTCATTTAAGTAATCTGCACCAAACAAAGGGAACTAACTAAAGTAAGCAAGAAATATCATTATCTAGGCTTCTAAATTTGTTATGGACCACATATAGCATTTACAGTGGTGAGCACTCTGAAGACGAAAGACACCCTGCAGCAGCTGCAAGAAACTGCTGACAGCCACTGGGAACTTCTAACAACTCAAGTTCTGGCATCCATTGAAGTTTTCTAGGTGTTTACAAAATGCCAGGTCTACAAATGAGGAGGGGGTGGGGGTCTTTGAAAATAGATGTGACATTCTTATGTTACAGATATTGATGTTCATCATATTCACAAAGGGATTGAGGGCAAATCCAACATTTCATCTACACACCTTGTACTTATTTTCTTTATACAAATATTCACTAAACTAAATTAATCTGCTATTTAAATTAATTCTTCTTGCAGTGTTGCACTTTCCACAATTTCAGGAGAACAAAATTACTGTAACAATTTTAAATACATACATGAGATGTAGTTTGTTTCTTTCTAATGTGAAAACATTCCAGTTTCTTCAACTTTTCAAAGAATGGTTTTCAGACAGTACTGTATAAGGCTTGATAATTTAACTTTATGCAATGGTATCTCACTGAAAGGAAAGGAGGAGATTGGCCATACTTATTAATGCACCTTTCCACAGCTTCTATCATGGGCACAAAACCTTACAACATAAACTTCTCAAAATGGGAGATGAAAATGTGCCTTTGTTGTTAAAAAAACTTTCTTGAATGTCTGTAGAAAATCTAGTCAATGTAACTCGGGATGGGGAGAAAATCCACGATAAAACTCAGTGTTTGTCTTGCCAAATCTGTTCCTTATTATGTCACATGAAACACAATTCAGATGATTAATGAACCAATAAATACCTTCTCCATTATGCCCAAAAAAAACTAGCTGTGTCCCTGTATGGACTAACTAACACCTTTACTCATGCCAAAACCGGTATCACTGGACCCTCTCACAATCAACTTTCATGTCAGTAACAACCACACCAGTCTTGCCACAGATCCAATACAATATTGATACAGTCACAAACACTTCTCATCCTCACCAGAACACATGAAGATTTTTGGAGCAAGTGCTGAAGTTTTAGATCCCTGTTCCAACCCCACACGAGTGTCCTATTATACATAACATATTTCAGGTCAATGTCAATGTGGTTAGGATACCAGTAAGTTACCAGTACACAGTTCCTTACTGATAGGCTAAAGCACAATAGATCATTGAAGGTCGCAGTGTGGGGGCCGGTTTTTATGGCCCACCCTTACATACATACTGATAGGCTATCATGAACGTAATATTGGTGTATGCCTGCATGGCTTTTCACAGGAATTGGTCCCTTCCTGAATGAGCTTTAAAATACCGATGGTCAGTATACTTTGCAAGGAAATAGGAGCAATTTTAAATGTTAGATTTGGTGAACAGGTAAGCCGTTTGAATTTCAAGAACCCTTATCACTAGGTGGGGAGGCCTTTAGATGATGTCAAGCTCTACAGAGAATAAATACATAAGGTGTACAAGACACAGTATAATACTGAACATGCCTAAGCATTTATAATGACATAGTCTTCAGTGGAAGTGTTTTCACCGTCCAAATTCAACGTTTTTCTTCTTGCCTTCTGTCCTATGTACACTTTTCTACAACATGTTTTGGCCTCAAACAGAGAGCCTCAGATGTAGTTACTTTCATTAAAACTGCTGCACTGTCATTCAAATTCAGTCACGCAAGGAACACACTGTTACTTGCTGACTGCCAGCAGTGCACACTGCCAACTGTGTGTGATATCAGCAGTTTGTATGGCATTTCAAATATGGGGTTATATGTATCAATGTACACGTATGAATTATACATCTATCGGCTATCTTGTGTACAGATCATGTTGGGTTTCGATTATGGAGTTATATGTATCCATGTGTATGAACAACACACACACACTGACACACATAACCTCATATTCAAAACACTATACAAACTCTTTGCCAGAGAGCAGCACACCCCCACCCCTTTCCTTAAAAAAGCAGAACCAATGACACAGAACATTAGATATCACTACACACACAGCCAGAATAACTCAACAAGGAGAGACACCAACATATTAACCCCCCTCCCCAACAAAAAAAAACAGTAAGTACACAAAATATACAATACAGCAGAACATCAGCAGTTAATATATAAAACATTCCTGCCAAAAATATTAATGACATACAACTGTTACATATTACAGACATACACAGTTGCAATCAGCAAGTAACAGCACATTCCACAAGGGACTAAACTGAAGTGACAGTGCAAAAATTTTAGTGAGAGTAACTGAGCCTGAGGACAACCACGTGAGGCTACAACATGTTGTACAAGAGTGTACATAGGATGGAAGGCAAGAACAAAATGTTGCATCTGGATGGTGGAAAAACTTATCCACTGAGGACCAATAGTAATGCAAGAAGATACTGAAGTACAATATTATAATGACATAGTTTCTCTCTTTATATTAAAAATAATGTCAATTAAGAAAAATATTATGGTACATATTTAAAGTTTTTAAAAGTTGGAAGAGGACAGCAGAGCTGAGCACTAACAAATTTTAAGTTGCATAAAACCATCTGAAATGCCTCTATGTGCTGATGGGAAAGGTTTGTGCTGCAAAATGCTGGCTACACAGCTTCTTCGAAGACACGCTTTTCGGTGGATCACTGTAGAGAACCCCATCTCAAAGGGGCTAAGAAATGACACACATCATACAAACTCTTTTAACATTCGAGTAAATAGCCCTTACTAGAGTGGTACAGAAATATCCAGGCCTGAAGGTGAAAATTATTTGAAAAATAAAATAAGAACAGAAAATAGAGTTGGTGTTGTTCACCGCTTCAAAAGTGTCCATCTTAAAGAGAAGGCGGCTCAATCGAAAGCCTACATGAATGGCAGACACACATTCAGTTTGCATAGAGACCTTCTAGCCTTCAATATAGTTGCAGAGTATTATTCTTATATATTGCAATTGATTTCCAAGGCTTTAGTATGGAAAGGAAAGTTCCCCTCCTTACAACATCAACTTTACGACTGACAGAACACTAACCCTCTTGGTCCTAGAGGGTGGTTTCAAATACCACAGTGTAGAAGATGCCATTAAGGAACCTTTACCCTTCCAAAGGGGCTGGCAAAAAAAAAAAAAAATAAGGAAAGCAAAGTTTCTAAGATTTCAGCGCCGAAATCTCCAGGGCCGGCGAGGGCCGAGCTTCCATTGTCAGCCCCTTGAGGGTGCCGTGGAAGGGGGAGGGGGCATGCTCCCCTCATCCTCACTGCACGCCCCCTCCAACACGGGTAGTCACAGTTTCAGCTCATTCGCAATCTTCGAAGCGATGTTCTTGAAGCCGATTGATGTCCCAGAGATGCGCTTGAAGCGAACTCCATTAAGTGACAAACGTGGCAACTTACACACTTCTATCTCCCACTGCACCAGTGAGTCGGTGTTTGGGTCGCCATGAACACAAAGCAGCAAGAACCTCTCTCGCTGTTCATAGTCGCAGTTGTTTGCATCCAGAACCTGACGTCACACATTTCAACACATTATTCAATCGAACTCAAACACAATATTAAAAAGAACTTCATACAGTAAATTCTGGTTTATTTGAAATTCCCATGCAACAGGCAAATATTTTAGAGAGAAAAATTTATAATTTTTATAAAGTCACTTTGAAAACAAGGGACACGCGGTAGCATAGTTGGTTGAGGCACTATGCTACAAGCTGGAAGGTTGTGGCTTGAATTCCCGATGAGCTCATTAAATTTTTCAATTGACCTAATCCTTCCAGTTGCACTA